GGGACACTTGGAATGTGTGGAGCTGCTCTTGGCAGCAGGGGCAGACCCAAACCTCTACTGCAACGAGGACCAGTGGCAGTTACCGATTCACGCCGCGGCCGAAATGGGCCATGCAAAGTAGGTGGTGGAAAAGGTGTCCAGCAGATTCTGGTGACACAAATATAATCCCCAAAGAGGAAGTTCTGGGCCTAAAAGGAAGAAAAATGAGCATTCAAACTGATTTGTAGTTTAGAAGTCTTAAGTCTTTTCACATTTTGCATGTCTTTTAGTAATCTCTTTCAAAGTGACAAGAGAGTAAGTTTAGATGGGATATTGGGAAAAAATCCCTCCCCGTGAGGGTGGAGAGGCCCTGGCACAGGTTACCCAGAGAAGCTGTGGCTGCCCCACCCCTGAGAGTGTCCAAGGGCAGGTTGGAGGGGGCTTGGAGCAACCTGGGCTAGTGGAAGGTGTCCCTGCCCATGGCAGGGGGTGGAACTGGATCATCTTTAAGGTCCCTTCCAACCCCAACCATTCTTTGGTTCTATGATTTTTAATTCAGCATCTAACCTGGGTTTGATCCACATTCTAATGAGTTTAGAGGGTTTTCCACAGTGCTGAACCAGATACCAATTCACTTCTTGGCCATTTTACTCTCCATTATAAAACATAAATGACATGGCTTTATACATGGCTTGAACAGCTGCTAATTAGAATTATATTCCTAACCGGTAAGTAGCAGAAGTAATTCTGTGCAAATATTGAATTAGCTGAACCAGGCAGAAAAATCAAAACCATAAAACAGTCCCTTTAGCCCTTCCAGAAATGCATTTGTAGCTTTGGCCAGTTTGAGTGATACAAGTCAGTTCCACTGCAGAAAGCCAAGAGTGGAAGGAAGTTTCTGGAGTAGGAGGACACTGGCGAGAAGGAGCTTTCAGGAACTCCATGATTTGCACATATATTTGCACGTAACTGGTGACCCCTAAGCAGCACCAGTAAGTTCCAGTAGCAAAGGGACTGGTGTTTGTCACTAATGTGATGTAGCCTGGAGCTGTGAGCTATGAACAGAAGGATTTTTCTGTTCCACTAAATATTAATTTTATTTGCAACTCACGTTTCCAGCTTGCTTCCAGACTTCAGAGAAGTCTGGATTTAATGTGCAGCTCTAAAAAGGAGTGGGGGATAATAGGAAATAGCTGTCCCTGGTTTGGATTAAAATATTTATTTCCAGCCTAAATCCATGCCAAAGCACAGTGTTTGCCAAGGACCTGTGTATGGAGTTATCAAGGTTGTTCTATGCAAGCTCGGGAGTGAAAAATCAGGATTTTCTCCCAAAGCGTGTGGAAAATGGCTGTGTATTTAAAATGAATCGTGGCACGAGATCAGAAACCAGTGGTTTGAAATATTTGCAGGATCCTGGAGCTGCTGATCCCGGTTACTGACCGGATCTGTGACAAGGGCAAGGGCAAACTGAGCCCTGTGTATTCTGCCATATACGGAGGGGACAGGGAGTGTCTGGAAATGCTGCTCAAACAGGGCTTCAGCCCAGATGCTCAGGAGTGCCTTGACTTCGACTGCAGATCCCCCATGTGCATGGTCTTCCAAAAAGAGTAAGGAAACCTCTTCTGTTCTGAAACTATTCATACTTATATCACCTTTTATTTAACTTTAAACGTGCAGTTTCCCGCCTTCCTCCCTCAGTTGTTGCCTGTCATTTAGTATTTTTTCCAGAATTCTGGTTAGTTCCCCCTTTGCAGACACTCCTGCTTGGGAATATTAATGCCAAGTCCTGCTGTGTGGCTCGTGTGCTGCATTAGGGAAAACATCTTCAGTAAAGGCTTTTAAATCTTCTTTAAACCCAGACAGTAACAGAACGTTTCACTTACGTGGATCAAAATTGATGGCTTAGGTGCTGCCTTTAAATTCATGAGAGGTTCATTAGTGGGGAATTTAGTCCATGGCATGCTCCTAGGAAGTTGTCTTTAAAAATCCTTGGATATTGTTTTTTTCCCCTTCTGTCCTGGTGTTGCTTAATAATAAATAATTTAGGAAGGGAAGCAGAGCAGGTAATTACTTAAATGGCCTGTAAATGAGGCAGGTAACATGTATCACCACTTTCCTGAAGAGATGTGCCCTCTAATCATTAACTAAGCTAAAAAGCAGCGCGCTAATTATCGGTCATAATCTCGGTCGTTATCGCACCATTATCGCGTCATCACCTTGTTGTGATGGATAACGACAAAAGGATTTTAGTGAAACGGGTTTATTTTTAAAACCGGAGCTCGGCTGGATGCTGAAAGTGGGAGATGCTTTCTGAGGGGAAAACTTAACGGGATGCCCCCGTTCCTCCTCCCTGTTCCCAGGTATTTTCACTTCGTCGACGTTCTGCTGAAGTACGGGATCGCCCTCCGGGCCGTTAACTTGGGACACTGCCTGTGCCATAAGAAGTTCGCTTTGTTTCGGCGCTTCCTGAGGCTGGGCTGTTCCCTGCCCTCCGGGGAGGAATTAACGGATTTCATCCACTACAGCAACACGGTGCACAAGGAATACAAGCAGTGGCTGCCCTCCCTGCTCCTGGCTGGCTTCGACCCCCTGAATTTCATGTGTGCCCTCTGGTGAGCAGAGCCCCCTCGCCCCTAGTTGCTAAATACCGCGGGCAAAGCTTGGTTTCTAACCTGGGCTTTCCCAGGATGGTCCTTGATAATCAGTTGCCGCGATCAGGAATGGGAGGGGCTGTGGAAAGTCTGAGATAAATCATTCACACGCCACGTCTGGAGCCAGGAAAAAGAATTCGGTGTAGGAAGAAAGCCAGACTGGAGGGAGGTTGCTTTATATCACTCCCCTGGAGAAAGGCATCACTGCCCGACTTTTATATGGAACATCTCTTAATGGCCCCCAAATTTAGCTCAGATTTTGTAGGGGTGTGTGTAATACTGTGATACAGCAACGGTGAGGAGAATTTCAAACGGGAGAAATAGGTCAGGAGGGATGGGATGGGAAGCAAATGGGAAGTGAAGCCGGGCCAGGGCTGGGAGGAGAGGAAACGGATGCATTTCAAGATTGTTAAACAAAACAATGTGGCAAAAGTTCCAGTCTGGGCTTTGTTGTTTGTGGGGTTTTTTGTTGTTTTTTTTTTTTTAATTTAAGTTTTTCCACATACAAACAACGGCTTGGTGATGTTTTATGTTTAGTTGGGCACTACAGAATTCAACTCCTGTTTAAAGTTCTGAAATATTTGTATTTTTCTGCTGGCTGTAGTAAACACCCTACAGGGCTGCAACTCAGTGACTGAACAAATCTCACTGTCCTTGCATATCACACATGGTGCTTTTTGATGTTTTATTCCCTAACCCACAAATACTTTTTATAGCAATTACTTCCTCTGTTTAAACACCCACTTTTTAATATAACACCCATCACACTGTCATCTGGAAAAATAACTTTTGGAAGGAAAAGGAGGGAAATAAAATTACATCAGTAAAGACTTGTGCTGTAGAATTACTTGGGATTTCTCTGTAGTGGCTTCCTGTTTCTAGGCCTAGGGTGAAGGTTGTGAAGGATTTGTCAGAAAAGCTCTCTCTCTGTGTTTTTCTCATTATTCTATTTATGCTGTTGTGTAAAATGGTATTTCAGGGGAGTTTTTGTCACGCAGGATTTTCTCCGCGAGTGAAAACGTCCTTAACTTTGTCCTGGAGTTCATGAACTGGAGCAGGCTTCCTCGAGGTGTGGAGGAACACCTTTCCCAATACAAGGAGAAGTTCACCTGGACTCCCAAGAGCCACTTTGGTAAGCAGAAGAGGCAGGAGAAAAAAAAAGTCTTGTGTGTATGCCAGCTTCCAAGCTATTTTTTTTTATTTGATATTCCAAATTATTTTTTTAATTTGATTTGTATTTCCAGTGGAGTGTCTGTCCTGTTCTGTCCAAAGCTTTGGGCAGTAATTAAAATGCAAACAGTAAAAAAATCAAATATATTCAAAAATGTGGTCAGCCAAAATATTCAATTGGTCGTCCAGGAATTTTTGACAGTTCACCCTTCAGAAAATCAGCTTTAACACGCAGGTGTGACCCAAAAATTGTGCTCAGGTGTCTGTTAGTGACTCCTTTCAAAGCAAATTCTTCTTTAAAAGATCTGTAATGATTTCTGAAATGTGTAGGTGATAATGTTATTTGATAATGTTATTTAATAATGCTTCCTTTGGAATGTTTGAGGCCAAAAGGATGCTTCTGGAGCTAAAAAAAACCCCAACGGTTTATTTGGGGCAATTGAGGTGAGGTTCCCTCTTTGTTTCCTTTGCTATTAGTAAATACATTTGTGTTGTAAGAACATCCAGTGACTGCAGCTGAAGAGGGAAAGGGAGCTGGGGGGGGGGCAAAGGAAAGGGAACAGAAGAATTCAAGGACCGGCAAATCCCTTCACTGCGGAGAGCTCCGCTCGTTACCTGCCAGAGCCCGGGGTGGGATCCAGGGAACTGCAGGCGGTCCCACGGTGTCCCTGATTGACTCGGGGTTCAATTTTCCAGCCTTCATTCCGCCCCTGTCTCACCTGTGCCGGCTGGAGATCCGGTCCCTGCTGAGGAGCGACCGGCTGCGCTCGGAGCGCGCGATCCGGGAATTGCCGCTGCCGGTTTGCCTCCAGGAATACCTGCTCTACCTGGACGTGCTGCGGGTCAACGCCATCCCAGACCTGGAGGATTCCCCGGGGCAGGGAGAGCAGGCAGCTCCTCCCACCGCTCCCTCCGCGGCTGAGGGTGCAGGGAGGAGTGACGCCAGCAACACCAGTGCCTGAACTCTGCAGGTTTTGTAACGGGAATTGGGAGACACGACTGTAAATACCCGCTGTAAGAATTCTTTTCAAGCTGTAGTTTTATAACTTTGCTACGACTTCTACGATTTATTGTTTAAGAAGCCTGTTGCAGCTTTCTAAGTGAACATTTTCTGGTTTTGTTTTTAGTTTGTTTTTTTTTTTTTCTAACTCTTAGGGGATAAAATGAGCTTGTTCAATGAACACAGCTTACAGAGCGGTCAAAATCTGTCAGTTGACGCTTTATTCTGAGTACAGCATTTACCAAATGGCACAACCTGACAGTCAGGGAACACAGTATTGCATCATTATTGCCAGTTTATGTGTTGGGGAGGAATGTAGCTGAACCAGAGAAAGGCAAATAACATAAGAAAGAAAACTGTTTGCTGAAGGAACAGTGGTTCTCTATTTTTTTTCCCTCCCCTTGGTCATCAATATTTGGCGGAATGTCGGAGCTGGAGGCTTGGAGCCTGCGCCCAGTCCCTCCCCTTGCTCAGCCCGGGGCAAGGCAGGGAATGTCCCCACGGGCATCACCGTGTGCCAACAAAAATCCCTCCTCTGGTGGAGTGAAAAAGGACCCTCCGTCCTCATGGCCAGGCAGGGACATCTCGGGGAGCACAGCGGGGTCCCTCGCCGGGAAAGCCCTCGTCCTGCAGAGGAGAAGCTGCTGGGAGCACTGGGATCACTGGTAGTAGATGCTGAAGGCGTGGAGGATATACAGGAAGGCTGTGAGGAAGGCGAAGAACTGCACAGGAGGAAGAAGAGCACAAGCTGGAGTGAGCCGGGAGAGTCCAACCCCACCTCCTCCCAGTGCCCTCAAGATGGGGAAGCCTCCCAACCTAGAGCTCTCCCCAAGCCTCAAAGAAGAGGCAAAGTTCCCAACTTTTCCCAGGGGACAGCCCTGCAAGGTGGACCCTGGAAGCTCATGCTGGCTGCACATGCTCAAGCTCTGCCCAGTGAGACACAGCCAGGCTCAGGGTGGCTCTGCCGTGGCTTTAATGTTTGCTGCTGCCTCTCCCAGGGGGAACTGTGGTTCTCCAGCCTGCCCGGGGTGCTCCGGGCCCGCTCACCGAGGCGGCACTGTTGAGTTGGTAGTAGAGAGGTGAGTTGGGGCCTGACTCAGAGTTGATGGTGGCGTTGGCCTGCAGGACAGCGGCGCTCATGTACAGGATGGCTGTGGCACCGTGGTACAAACTGTCCTGCAAAGCAAGGCTCGGGTGAGTGATCCAGAGGGACACACAGCTGGACAGGGCTGGGATGAACCCTCCCTGCCAACAGCTGCCGGCGTCCCGGCCCCTCCTTACCAGCACTTTCCAGTTCTCGCTGTTCCTGTGGAAGCCCAGGAGGTAGCTGAGGAGGAGCAGCAGGGAGATGAGGCAGGAGGTGAGGGACACGTACATCACCCATCCCTGCAGCAGCGGGAGGGACACGGAGGTAGCGGCGACGAGGATCCACACCCAGGTCCCGCAGAGCTGCCAGGGACAAACAGGCGCCTCGGATGAGCACGGGATGAGGAAAACTCCTTCCCTCCCAGTCCCTCCTGGGCTGGCCCCAGCAGCCAGCGGAAGCCCTGCATCCTTCCCGGAGCATCCCGGCACGACAGCGGCACCAGTTTCCTTGAACACTCATGGGAAGTGAGTGTTCCTACGAAAGGGAGAGGTTTGCTGCCGCCTTCCACACAAGGAAATGTCTCACCCTGGGGCGTTTGGTGCTTGAGCAGAAAACTGGGCTTTTATCTGGGAAAGGTGAACGGCCACAGCGTCGCCCGGCCCTGCCCCGCTTGTTAATTCTCAGGGCTTGAAATCCAGCATGAGGAGGCCTCCTCACAGCTCCCTGCACCAGCCCCGAGCCAGTAGCTCGCCCTGGATCCACCCAAAAGGTGGACAAACAGCACCAGGGGTTTGTCGGGATGAGCCCGTGCCGCCCTGTGCCACCCCAGCTCCGGTGGGTGAAGCCCGGAATTGCTGCCCAAGGGAGCTGAGCCCACTGGCACAGCAGGGATTGTGCCTGTGGAGCAGCGGGGTGTGGGTCTCCAGCCCAGTGTCAAAGTACACCAGCTATTATTGCAGCCAGTCGCACTGGGTGCCCTCTGGACCCACGAGCACTTGAAAGAATCATGGAATGTCACACATCAGAAGACGCCCAATTGCCTTCAACCCCTGGGAAGACTCGATACAGGATAGACACAGACAGGCTTGATACAGAGAGCGAAATTCCCTTGATTTTCAAGCAGTATCTAGGTGCTAAAAAGAGCAGCTTGTGCCCTGAGGAGCCAGCAGCTCTTCCGCCTCTCCCAGCCCTACTGCAGCCGGTGACCCTGGGATGGAGCTGGAGTGTACCTCGCCCTCAAGCTGTTCCAAAAAACCCCATCACGAAGACCACCTTTGTGCATCCAGCCCGGGCTCAAAGCCAAGATGTTACTTCCCACAACCGCTGTCTCCGGGATCATTTGGGGGCTGCTCCCAGGAATTTAGCCAGGAGCCAGGTGCCGTGAGGCAGCGGAGCTCGGGATACTCACGATCTCGGGCAGGATGAAGGCGTAGGGGATGGTTTTGAAGACGGCGGGTCCGGAGGGCAGGGCGGGCTGTGTGGAGGCCGTGGAGGGACCCACCGAGGCCATGTCTCCTCAGCTGACACCAGGATCACTTGGCTCACACTCGCCTGCACCGGGTTTTAAGGGACACACCCGCGGGACGTAATCACAGGAACCAGCCCAGGCTGGCACCGCGCCGGCTCGGGAGCCCTCGGCACACACCCGGCACTGCGGCTCCACACACCCCTCTGCCAGGGCTGGGAGGGCAGAGGGACCCCGGCCCTGCCACACCATCAGTTCAAGGTCGTTACCCAGAGGGGAGAGGAGAAAACTTCCTACACACCGGGGCAGAAAGGTTTCCTGCAAACAGTTGCCGTCCTTGGCACGCTTCCAAGCCTGAAATGTTTTCCCTTCCAGTGTTGTTGCCTCCTCCCCTTTCTGTTCAGGTTTCTGCTCCATGTTCTCATCAGACCCCTCCACGCCCTGCAGGCACATCCAGCCTTCCAAAAGTGGCTGGCAGACGATTTTGACAGGCAACACTCTGGAACAAGCCGGGAGGGTTTGCCCCTGCGCTCCCAAGTGGCCTGAAAGGTTTGAGAGAGAGTTGCTGAGATTTCTGCATCCTGACAGATGCACTTTGGATTCAGGAGGCACTCGCTGCTTCATCCAGCAGACTCTGCCTCGCCCCAGAACTCCCCAATAGCTGATGGGATGGAAGGCTGAAGGTGACCCAGAGGGGACAGAATCACCTCGCTAAGTGGGGCAATGTGCTCCAGCAGGAGGACACTGTCCCAGTAAGATATCCCATCTGTGCTAGGAGAGTCAGGTGATGCCCCAGGAACTGCCAAGCCTTGTGTGACACAGACCAAAGATCAAATCCATGTTTCCTGTCTGAGCCCTTCCTAGGCCGGGGGAAGTGCTCTGTGGCATTTCTGGAGGCTCCAGGGCACAGGTGCTCCCGTGTGCTTGGAAGATCTTGTTTTAAATCATTTCCCACCTGGCAAAACTGCCTGGCCTGGGCTTAAGTCCATCAGACACAGTGGCAATGTCCCCATCATGCTGCAGGAAGCATCCAGATGCTCCAGCACTAAAGGGAAACCGGATTAGTAACTTCCCCCTGGGAAGGGGCAGCACACGGAGCCTGCGGTCACAAGGTGCTCAGGGAAAAGCAGCTGGCACAGGGGTCAGAACGGAGGGAACCACCCCAGGGGAGCCAGTGCCCTGAATTCCCACCAGCTGTCAGGTGTGTTAGGTCAGGCACATTCCTGTGAATGGCCCAGCCTTCTCCTGAGTGGGGCAGAAAAGCAGGCAAGCAGTCTAAAAATGGAGGAACGTGCTGTCCACGGGTTGGGCAAGAGAGGATTTTTTTCCCCTCACCTGGCTGCCCTTGCTCAGCAGCATTCTTAAGGATCTCTGCTGTTCCCCTTCCCTGCTCCCAGCCTGCTTGGGGGACAGGGACAAAGGGCCTTTTGTTCACCCTGATTAAAACAACACTGGGAATTAATTGGAAGAAGCTGCACAAGAGGAGGAAAGTGCTGAGAAGCGGAGCCTCAGCTTCGGCAAAATACGGCACTCAAAGTGGCTACAACAGGTAGTGACAGACAAGCAGAGCCTTGTCCAACGTTTGTCAAAAATTGAAGCTACACTGATAAAATAATTCCAGTCTCTCCCAAAATGTAAAAGTGTTAAAATAATTATTACAATTCAATAGTACGGTCCCTTTGGGAAGAATTTATTTGTATTGTCACCTCGTCCTTGGAGAGCCTGAATTGTTCTTTAATCCGTTAATTCTCCAGGATTTTTCCTCACTTCCCCTAAGAAATCATAAGCCAGCTCTGAGATGTCAAAGGCTTTGTGGGTGGTTTCTGAGGACAGCAGGTACTGCAGAGCGCCGTCGTTCTCCCGGCTCTTCCTCAAGAAGTCATGGATCGCCTTCCAGCGGGACATTTCTGCCTCCTCCTCAGCCCACTTGTAGCTGGGGAGGAACGTGGACTGGAGGAGAGGGAAGACAGAGTCGTGGTACACCAGGACAAACACAGACTTCAGGAATTCTTGATCTCTCTGCAGGGAGGAAAATACTTCAGTGCAAACTCGTGGTGCTGCCAAGCACTTCTCCAAAGGATTGTGCACAGGGAGAAGACCCAACCAAAAAAATAACCCCCAGTACCAGGATAACAACGGGAAGAGATTTGACCTTCCTAAACAAATATCCATTATCTTGGATAAGCCTAAAGAATACAAACCATAGATCAACAAATCTGCTCTCCAAAGCCCTGCCAGTGCTCCCACAAACCACGGGCACTGAGATTTGCTTGTGGGGTATTTATATTCCTTCCTAAAACTAGTGCCACATCCTCCCTGCCCTGGAAACCCAAACTCTGCTCATATTCCTGAGGTGGAGAGAAGGAGAACCAGGAGCTCTGATCCCGCGCTCCTCGGAGCAGGAGGTGAGGCTGCCCCTGGGTGCTCCGGGGTGAGAATTATGTGTTCCCCTGCAGAGGTCAGTCTGGAAAACCCAGAGACTTAAGGATCAGCCTGGTCGATTATCAGACACACGGGAAGGATCCTGACAGCTGCCAGCGGGAAAACTCCTGGAGCACGGAGCGTTCCAGAGCCGCGAGGGCCGTGCCCGGCATCGAGCACTTCACGGCTCAGCGGGAGATGTGGCAGCTCAGAGTCACAGAGCCATGAGGGGTGAGCACCCTGCAGGCAGCAGTCCTGCCCTGGGAGGGGCACACACCAGTCAGGTAAAACTGGATGGTTCTGGGATCCCGGGGAGTCACTGATTCCGTGAGCAGCTCCCCTTTCCTTTTGGATGAATGGCCCCGAAAAAGCCATTCTGACTCAAGGGTTTGTGTAAACAGGGAGCAGTCCTTGTGCACGGGGAATGAAACATCCCACTGCTGCTCCCAGGAAGTCCTGGATGGAGAGCCAGTGGTTTTCCCATGGAGTTCCCTGCAGCTGCTCTCCGGGCAGAAGACAGGAGCCTGGTGACAGCCGGGTCAGTTCTCCAGCTGCCTCCACACCAAAACATGGGAATAAAACTGTCTGGGCTGGGGAGATGGGAGGAATCTGGGGGCCTTTTCCCAGGCAGACCTGAGCTGAGAGGTTGGAGGAGGGCAGATGATTTTGTGGGCATGCACAGCCTCTTTTGTATCCATGGAAGTAACAGGTTCTCCACCAACAACACTGAGACAAAAAGTTACAAGTTAATTTAATTATCCTCCTCCTCCTGGTTTACTGTTATGAATCCCAGTAAGAAGTGTTGAGAACTCTATTTAACGGGTCTCTAATTTTTAAGTAAGTGAGAGGAAAAGCTGAGCAGCAATAACACTGACAGGGAGCAGCTAGTTCGGACTCCACTGAATATATGGAAAGAAAACCCCGTAGTTTGTTACCTTCTCAGTTCTCTTCAATGTTCTTTCTCTGTCTGCCCAAGCACTCTAAAATGAAATGTAAAATCAGACCAAGGCTGTGGAGAACTTTATCTTTCCACAGGACAAAAACACCCTTAAATTTTGTCTGGAAATCCCAACAGGGTAACGTACCCGAAGCGCATCCATCAGGTCTGGCTGATCCACGAGCTGAGGGAAAGTTGCTAAAACAGGATTACAGATTAAATCTGAAACAGAAAACAAACACATGCACAAGGCTAAGTACAGAGCACATCCAGGTACTCAGCACATCCCCTCCCCTCGGATTTTTCCAAAGGGAAAATGACCTGTAACAGTTCTCCTGAGGGCAGGGAAGGCAGGAGAGCTCCCTAACAACTGAGTTCTCTGACTGTAGCCAGCTCTCAGTGGCTGGGAGACACTTACACCAGGAGAGCAGACACACAAAAACCAGCTCCTGGTTTACTAGGAGCACCAGCAAGCATATATTCCTTTTAAATATTCCTCATTTACCTGCCTGAGGGGTTTTCCCTCATTCCTGCACCTGCCTTTTTTTTATACACACAGCTGCAACTGTGCTGCCTGGTTGGGATGTTGTGGATAAACACACTTGGGTTCTACCTCGACCTGGCGTGTCTTGTGTGGCATTTTAAGAGAAGCAGGCACTAAGTGGCACAGAGAATTTACCAAGTGGGGTAAATCCCACTGCACAGGGGTCCTGGTGCTTTTTGGGCTGCCGTCCACGAGAAAGTGCTCTGCTCCTGTCCTTATTTTCATTGATGAGATTGTGGATAAGATTACAAGTGACAGAGGGCAGAATTTTGGTTGAAGTCTTTCCTTTCTCTTGTGAGTTCAAATATTTAATACACACTGTTGTTTCTTCCTCTTGAAGCTGATGGAAAGTTTAGTAAACACGAAGCTTTTACTAAACCAAAACATTTAAAGGCTGCAGGCCAGAACTTGTGGCTCCTGTGAGACAGAGCAGGCATTTTAAACTGCCTGTTTCTGAAGTGATGGGTGATTTTGTAATGACAGAAATCTTCCTTAGTGACACACAGCCAGAAGAACTTCTGAAACACCTTTCAGTCGTTTCAAATGAGGTCTGGATCCAAAGGGGTGCAACTTAATCCCAGGAGAGCCTGATCTGCTGTGCCAAGTTATGAAGATCAAATCAGGTAAGTGTGGCAGTTCTCACCTCGTCTTTAAAACTAAGTTCTTCAGTTTCTCTCTGTGAGTTTATTAATTGAAGCATTAATTTATTTTCACCTACTGAAATCAGTATAGGCAGTATGTATATTAAAGCTGAAGAAAATCAGGGAGTTAAGCACCTCTGACAGATGAACCTGTGATTCAAGTGCTTAAGTATGACAAAGATTCTAAGCTAAAAATGTCAGCAACTGCACAAGGAAATTTATTTGCATAGGAACAGATGATTCATAATTCAGTTTGGAGAAGAGATGGGAGAAAACACAAGAAAATCACTTTCAGTACCAATATAAATTCACCTGTAGTACAGTTAAGAAATGTAAATTTTCCATATTTCAAGTGGATTTTAAAATGGGGAAGGCTATAAACTATTATTAGTTTTGTTGAATAAGACACAGAGTTGCAAAATCAGGGCAAGCCACTGAGTTCTAAAACCAGAACTCTTCCACTTCTGTCTCTCCCTGCCTTAGTCAGTAAGTAAATAGTAATTAAAAAATAAAGAGGATGATTTACCTCAATGACAAAAACATCTCAGAGAGATGAACAGAGAGGGTGATTCTCTGGAAGAACCTGAGCTTTCTTTGGCTCTCACCTGTGCTCTGCATGCTCGCCCTGTCCCTCAGGAGGGCGTCTCCGAGGATTTGCCGATAAAACGCCAAGAGATGGACGGAGCTCGTGCTCCCAATTAACGTTTCTGGCAGAAAACTGTTGGGCAAACAAAGAACAGCAGTTGAGGCTTTATTGAAAACTGCTCCTACAGAGCATCATCCACCAAATCCTGAGGGAAAGGACAGCTCCATGGAGGTTGTTTATTCATGGCATCTCCATGAATCCATCACCGCTTCCGGATGCTGATCCAGCTCCAAGGGCCCAGCTCCTGCTGTTGCAGTTTTCCATCTGATCTAAACTTAAAGACTTTATTTCCAAGAGAATAACCCCAAGCATCAAAGAGACATGGAGTACAACATGCAGGTGACACGACCCTCGGGTTTTTCCACAGCCAGTGTTCTGTGGGAGGGGAGTGCTGATCTCTGGGACCATCCCGGGCTGTCTGGAATTCTTTCTCGTTTTGTACTTACTTCAGGATGTCTCTTGTACTTACTTCAGGACATCTCTGGACTGCACACTCGGTGACCTCAGCTTCACCAGCAGCACAGGCTGTTTCCTGAGTGCCAGGAACTGATGGAAAACCCCACCAGCTGCTGCAGGAACAAAGCCCCGGGATGGAATCAGCCAGGTGGAAAGAACGGCCAGAGTTACATCCCAAAAACCTCATGGGAACTCTCTGCCACCCAGCACTCCACAGCCAAGGGAAGTGCAGGTAAAGGAATCATGAAATCAATGCAAAATGAGAACACACCAACCCAAACCAGGCTGTTGTGAAAGAGGCACAGAATTTGCCACGGCGTTTTATTTAAATCACATTTAGGAGAAACCACACACCTCTCCTCGATATTGAGGGGTCCACCTCGACACCTCTCTCATAGGGAGTTCCACCACTCAGCAGCAGCTCGTACATCCTGTCAGAAAAGAGTAGCACAGTTAAAATGGAAACATTTAAGGACATGTGAGAACAGCACAACCACTTTCCGAGAAAGGAAAACCCGCTCTCTCAAAACCTGACACATCCCTCCATGTTATAAGCAGTGTTTTGGATGCAATGACTGCACCCAACTAAGCAGCCAAACCCCAGGTGATAAATTTGAAACCTGTGTTATACTGGGAAGTGAATTATTTGGGGAATTTATTGTATTGGGAAGTTAATTATATTGGGAAGTGAATTATTTGGGGACTTTATTGTATTGGGAGGTTAATTATTTTAAAAGCAACCAGCAGCATTGATTCTTTTCCACAGCTCCAATATTTTGCTTGTATGAAATTCAGCAATTGTTTCACTGAAATGTTTTTGAGGAGTCATCACTGCAATGTTTTAGATCTTCCATATGTAAACTTCCTTAGAGAATAATGTAATCTCAGTTCTCTCGAAGCAAGCGTGAAATTTAATGTGTAGATACCACGTTTAACTTAATGAAATAGTAAAACAAAATTAGAAATGGGATTTAGAAGAGATTTAGAGACTTAGAGAACAGTGGGTATTTTTTTTTTGCCCTGTAATTCAGATAAATTCAGAATATATATATATATATACCTACCAATATTTGCTAAAAAACCAAGTCTTGCAAGTCTAAGCTATGATGAATCGTTTCTGTAAATAGACAGAAAGCTTTTCTACACTTAACAAAATAGAAAGTTGTACACTCTATTATTCTTTTAGACCAGTGGGCCCAGAAACTAATCATAAATCAGCTGCAAAATACAAGTTTGTTCACACTCTCCAAGAGAGAGTCACTCACAACAACTCTCATCTGATTCCAGGTCTTGGAAACCAGTCTCCAAATTTTTACCTGGGGAAGGGATAAGCAGCAAAGTGCACACACAGAGAAGAGGCAGAATCCCAGAGCAGTGGTCTGGATGAGCAGTGTGTAAGTATGGGAGGTGAGCTTTACTCACAGTGTAAAACAGGTGTATGTACATGGGGATGTGAGGACAGGGAGAGCAGGAAAACATGTCAAACTCACTTGGAAGGGACAGGAATCCCATTAGAAGTGAAAAGCTTCAGGAATGCCCAGCCACAGCTCAGCTCTCCCCTGACACCTGTAGACTAGAAAAAAAAAAAGAGAAGTATAAATGCTTTGAGCAGCTGAGCAAAGCACAGTTAATTATAATCACCCCATCAAAATCGTTGTGGTGACCCCCCCCCCCTTTTCCTCTTTCACCCCCGTGTGTTGAAAATCACAACCTGCCTTCCCTTAGGGTGGTTTTTCTGGCCTTTGCCATCTCTTGTGCTAGAACCTGTCGTACTTCTCAGCAGCACATCCATCCCAGATGGACAGGCTGTGTCTGGGCAAGCTGGAGTTAAAAACCACTGTTCATTCATGCTGTTGGAACAGTTAAAATTTTAGTTTCCAAACTGTACAGCACATCAGTCTGAAACAAATCACAGGGAGAGAAAACCTGCAGGAGTGAAGAGAGAACTGGTCCTTCGTGATGCCATGACAGGGGGTGTTTGGAACAAGTTATTTCAGTGTAACCACAGGTCTGCTCATGGCCATAAGTCAGAAAGCTTTTATTCTCTAGTTAGGGGTATTGTCTGCCCATAGAATCCCTCTGTAAACCTGCACTTGGAGGGATTTATGCTGCACCTTCACACACTCACATTGCACGTGTAAGTGATGCCAAGCTCAAATAATATCCCAATGTCTGATGACAGAGAGTTGGACCTGACAAAACAGTCACCATCCAGCAAGCTGGGTAAGAGGCCCATCACCTGAGACAGAGAGAGGGAGGGGAAACAAGGAAGTTAATGTAACTGTTTGAAACAAATCTTTATTTTTAAAGGCCACCGAGCACATCCCTCACTCACACAAGACCTCAGACCCAATCCCACTGCAGGTAAAAATGAGAAGAGAACCAGTTTCAGTCTAAACCCTATTCTTTTTTCTTTCCATGGAGCACAGCTGTGGAGCACACTAAAACTCCACAGAGTTTTAGCACACTAAAAAGAGACTTCTTAGTGACAAGCAAGAAGCTTGAATAACTAGTTATTCAGTAGCTGTGTCACCTACCCTTGGAGAAAAGGTCCATGTCTGAGGATTTTTAGGCAGCCACGTGGCTCTCACCGTGTGGATGTTACTCAGCACCTAAACATGACAGTGGGGGGAAAAAAGCTAAGGCAAAGTTTTTCTGGAAAGCTCTGCTGCTGTAAGAAAGTGCAGATTATCCCAGGTTAATCCAACAATGCACACAGCAAAGACAACTGGAAGAAAACTGCTGGGTGTGGGTATAAAAAGCTGCTCTGCACATACCACAAAAAGGGGCAGAGGATTGAGGGCAGGGGGGAATCTGACCCTGGCCCTGACCCAGCTACTCCCAGGCCCACCCCAGGAGAGAGATCAGCCCAACCCCACTCATCCCCACAGACACCAACGAGCCATGAGGCACCAAGGGCAGGTGGGGGGACCGAAATTATGGGCTCAGAGAAACTCCTGCCCTGGCCCCTCCCAGGGCAGCCCAGCCCAGCCCTGAGCCCCAGGGGCAGGGCGTGACTGTCCCTGTGAGTCAGGAGCAGCTCCCTGGGGCACCTCACACTGCCCAGGGGAGGAGGGTGCAGGGGAAGGGCACTTTGGGACTGCCCCTGGCTTACTGTGGGATGGAAGTAGTAATGGGGAGAAACCAAGGCAGAAAAAGGGAGGGATGGAGGTGCTCTGTGGAGTAACAAGGGTGGGACACAGGGTAAGTGTGCAAGTTTGGCCATGCCTGGTGCCTGTCAGTGCAGTCCGTCCTGTTTGCTCATTAAACCCATTCAGAACTGTTTTTCTGGGTGGATGGGCTCAAACCAGAGCAATCTGAGCGTGAGTGTCGAGCAGCCTGGGGAGGCAGATTGTGTGAGTGAGGCAACTGGAGGAGCTGGCTAGCAGAGAACCCAAAGATCCTGGGAGCTCCACAGCCCCTCAGGTCATCCCTGCCACGGAAAGAGCCCTCGCTCACCCGCGTGCCGTCGAACAGGCAGAGTCGGACGTGCCTGCTCAGCACCTGCATGCTGGCTCCTGGCACAGGGATCATCTTGCAGCTGCACAAACTCACAACCTGGGACACTCTGGTCACTCTGGGATGGATCTGGAATACAGCACAAAGGGAGGGTTAAACCTCCAGGGCCCCCCTGCCCGTGGTTTTGTGTGAGGTGGTCGCTGTGGGGGATTCTCCCAACCACAAACCCAGCACAGTGTCAGCAGCAGAACTCCTTCATGAGCCTTTAGTTCTCCCCTAAGGAGATTGGTACGGGTGTTTTAGTGGGACAGACAAAGTCCTAGCAGGAGAAATATTCCAAAAGCAGTGAAAAAATGAAGACGTGATCGTTAGCCAGTAGGAAAGAAGACAAATTAAATTTGTGATTTCACAGGGCTCGTGGTCTAAAACTTCACATCAGTCACCCACTGCTTCACCCCAGACAGGGAAGGAATCCACAGACTTAAATGGCTCTTAAAAGATACCCAACTTGACAATTTATACTGACTTTTTGCCTAGTGGAGAGCAGGATGTGGTAACATCTCCTGCCTAAGGAGTCTGGGTGGACATGGCAATCTCTCATTCACCCACCAATGGGAAATCCTGCCACCAATTCCCATCTGGAGACCCCATCACTTCCCCAACCCAAAGGCATCGAGGCTCCCTTACCAGTGATACTCACAGTGTTTTTTTCAGAGTTCCACACCAGGTCTTTGAAAGCCAGCTGGGATGGAGTCAGCTCAGGCTGCAAGTAGGAACTCGCTCGAAACTCATCGCCTACAACAAGGGTGAGTTTGAAAATCCTTCATTTTTTTTAAATGATCTTTATTGCCACAAAATGAACAACACCCAAAACTCGGGTCCAGCTGAATATTTGACCAAACAAAACTATGCAGGTGTTTTCTATGAGCACTGGTTACCATTTGTAAGTGTTCTGCAGTGTTTCATCCCAGGAGCACAATCATTTAATTAACAAAATGAGCTGGAACGTTTGAAACTAAAAGATAACCAAAAGATGTGTAATCATCTTCCCCAAGAAAAAAGGAAGATTAAAATAAACTTTAAAAAAATCATCATTTCCTCCAATGCCAACAGGATCTTCCAAAGAGGAAAATCTTTGAAATTGTGAGGAAATTTGTCAGGATTTCACACAGATAAATTAAAACCTAATAGAAGGGGGGGAGGGGGGAAGCCTTTTATACAGTATTTGATGGGACAAATATAGCCAATTATAATTAAGCAATACTGGTTGTACTCCAACAGGCTGGTGACCAGGGTGAGGAACTCACCACAGAGCCCTGAGAATCCTGCACTGGAACTGTCAGGAGAAATCCTTACCTTTCTCTAGGAGCTGGAAAAGCGTGGATGGGCGGAATCCTGTGGGAACTGCTCCTATGGTGGTCAGTACCTGCACTGTGTCATGCTAATTAAAACCAAAATTGTATCAGTGTTCCTGCCATAATTCAACAGCTAATTTAGAACTCTATCCAAACCAGAGATCTGGTGCATGAGCCACCTCATCTGAAGCATTTCTCTGGCATTTTTTGCTACCAAACACCACCCCAAATAGAGATGCTAATTAAAAGGAACAGTCTGTAATATGAGACATGGTGTTTGGTAAAAGGGCAAAGCTTATCTGCAGAATAATCAACATTATGAGAGGTGTAAGAGGTGCACCCACCTCTGTGATGGCTCGTACAGCACTCCAGTGAGAGTCTGTCCTGGAAGAAAAACAGGAGTTTTTAGAACATAGCCTTGTGTGGATGAAAATTTAAACACTAAATATGGGTCTGTTTTAAAATAGCAGCAGCTTCCTATATCTAACATCTCAGAACTCCCCAACAAACCCACTCGAGAGAAAAAAAAACCCCACATGGCTCTTGTACAGGAAAGAACCAAAGACCCCTGTGAGGTAAGAAATGTACTGCCAGGTTTAAGGAGGAGGAAGAATAATTTTATACTTATTTGCTTTCACATCACTCCTTTTACCTTCTTTTAATTTCAGTCCCATCTGCTGTTTCATCCACCACTTCTATGTGTTCCTCTCTCTCCTCCTGGCTTTCTTCCTCTTTCTTGGGAACCTGCAGTTCAAATTCAAAAGGGCAGAGGGCTTGATTTCTTCCCAGTTCTGTCCTTAAAAGTGCCCTCTCCAACCACAGCCCACGTTAATAGTTTAGAAGAGGAGAATTTCACTGCAGCTGCAGAAAACTGCCCAGCATTTACATGGACTCACTTTGCAGATAAATCATTAAAAAGCCCAAATTAATCCACAGCAGCTTGCAGTCATCAGAGCTGACCTTTAGTGACAAAGATTATGACTTCTGTAGTCAAGAAACTTCTCAGCCACATCCTCACAAAGCACAAAAATGCTGCTTTTGATGGACATCTCCATCCCCGTGGATAAAAACACGGCGTTATTCCCCAAAAACTGGCATTATTTCCAAACAACTGGCGTTATTTCCAAACAACTGGCATTATTTCCAAACAACACACTCCCCACATGAGCATTGTGCCCAATTTTATGCAGCTGTATGATCATTGAAAGCCCAGAGGTGAGACAGGACAGAGGTCGCAGCACACCAACCGCAAGGTAGGTCCTGGGAACGAGGCCTCTCTCCCCCTTGGAATTTTCAGCCACCCACCAGCCATCCACCTTCTTGTCGTGGATAAGCAGGATTTCACCTTTCTTTGGCATTGGAAGGAGAGACAGAGACAAAAGACAACCAAATATTTACATTAAAACCCCACAAACCCTTGATTTTTTCCTACAACAGAGATCCCAGATGCTGCCACGACAGAGGGTGGCAAAAGGACACTGGACTACAAGAAAACACCATTTCCCCCCAAATCCCACAAGGAACTGTGTGACTCCCAAACCCATAGGCTTTAGTTATAGTTATTGTTTAACATAGACTGATCTGCAGTAAAAGCCCTTTACAGAGTATTTACCTCAAATGTGAGATCCCCTTCCTGCTGTGCCTCAAAGTTTCCAACAGCAACACATTCTTTAACGTTTGGATCATCCAACAACTTCTCCTCATCTTCTTCTTCTTCTTCACTGTCTTCCTCCTCACTACTTTCTTCATCTTCACTTTCCTCCTCTTCTTCATTTCCATCTTTTCCATGAGGACCTTTCTGATGTTCCTCATCCCTACCCAAAACAAATCAGACTGTTTTTATTCTCCTTCTCACCAAACTTTTGAAAGTGCTGTCAGACACAGCGTTTTCAGTCCTGTGTTTTGCTCTCTGTCCTGAAGAAGCTCCAAAATCCCAGTGGTGCTTCCTCCCTCCCTCTCCTCCAAACATTATCCAACACCCTCAGAAAATCCCAGTGAGCCAGAAATCACTGATCTCGTGAGAACTTCTTTTTTTTGTTCTTCTATTTCTGAGATAATGAAAGGGACAAACTAACAGCTTTTCAGGGTCCTTTCCAACCATTCTATAAAAACACAGGTTGTGTGTTTGAGCTACTCACACTCTGTAATACTTTGTCACGTTATCCTGACCCAAGACAAGGAGGAGTTTCTGCAGCTGCTGGGAGAGTTTTAGCAGCAGCTTCTCCTCTTCTTCCTTCCTCTGGCTGTAATTCCCCACTGGAGCGGGCTCGTCAGCCTGACAAAGAACACAACAAATTGCCCAAAGAATCGAAGTTCCCCTATAAATTTAGTTTTCCAGACACGCCTTACAAGCTTTCCCCTCCCTGGGCTGCTCTCACTCCCTCTTTAGTGACATTTTCCTTGCCCTTTCAAACTCTGCCAAGGTGAAATTCCATGTTAAATTTCGAATTGCACTCTCTGCTTCCAAAGAATGCAGTGGGCCGATAAAACATTTTATGTGCAGGACTTGGACACAACAAAGCATTAAAGCGACTATTTAAATAACATAAATTGATATAAATAATACAAATTTGAGAGAAGCCACGCAGGGACTGTGCTGTGCTGGGCACTGCTCTTGTCCTGAGGTGCATCTCAAATGGAAGTTTAGTGGTCTTTAAATGCTTTCTGCGGTGAATTTTGGAGAAAACCACAAGCAAATTCATCTCCACACTCACTTTTTTCAAAGCATGGAGAGCACTTGTATTCTCCTCCACCAGTTTCTTCAGCTGGATACATCTGCACGGAAAGCAAGACAGACAGATGGTATTTTCTTAAAATTCTGCCCCAAACTGTCCCTGCTGACTGAAAGGTGTCATTTTAGGTGCTGTGTGTCCGGGCAGATTGAGAATTCCAAGCCCAAACAGCAGCTTGACTGATTATTCCCTGCGAGGTGCAACCTCCCACTGGCATTTGGCAGAATCCCAGCGTAGCTGGGGTTGGAAGGGACCTCTGTGGATCATCCAGTGCTGAGGCAGGGTCACCTGGAGCAGGTGGCACGTGTCCAGGTGGGTTTGGAATGTCTCCATAGAGGAGACTCCACACCCTCCCTGGGCAGCTCTACCAGCACTCCATGGAAAGAAGTCGTTCCTCATGTTGAGGTGGAATTTGTGGTTTAGTTTATGGCCATTGCTCCTCGTCCCGTCACTGAACAGAGTCTGGCCCCATGCTCTGACACCCCTTGGAGATATTTGTATGGATTTATGAGATTCCTTCTTGGCGTTCTCTAGATTTTCCTCAGCCCCGGCGGGCTGGGCAGCAACCAGCCTGCAAAGAAGGAGCAGGGAGACATCTGGACAACCGAGAGAAGAAAGGAAAAGCGGAGATGGAACTCTTTGCTCCTTCTGATGCAGAGTGATGGGGACGGAGGGGTCTCTTCCCACACACGGAGCAGAGCCGGGCGACTCCTGGATGAGCGTAAGACAGGGATCGAGGGTCGGGGTTCGGGATGGGGCTCGGGACCCCCCTCACCTCTGCCGAAGGGCCTCCCGCTGCCCGGGGGTGGCGGCCGCGCTCTCCGCCCGCAGCGCATCCACCTGGGACGGGGACAGGGGGAAACGGGGGCGGTCAGGGGCCGGGTCGGGCCGCGTCCCCCCGGTATAGCCCCGGTGCGGCCCGGTACCTGCTCCCGCAGCTCCCGGCTCCGGCGCTGCACCCGCTGGAGCGGCCCCCGCGCCCGCCGCTCCGACATCGTCACCGGGCAACGGGAGCGGGGCCGGCGCCGCCCGATGACGGACCGGGGCGGGGCCGGGCGGGGGTTCGCCCATCCCGGGGGGCAGGGATTCACCCGATCCCGGGATGCAGGGGATTCACCCGATCCCGGGCTGCAGGGGATTCACCCGATCCCGGGCTGCAGGGGTTCGCCCATCCCGGGATGCAGGGATTCACCCGATCCCGGGATGCAGGGATTCACCCGATCCCGCGGTGCAGGGATTCACCCGATCCCGGGGTACAGGGATTCACCCGATCCCGGGATGCAGGGATTCACCCGATCCCGGGGT